GGTCGCTGGTGAAGGAGCTGGAGGAGCTGCAGGTGAGTGCCACAGCCGCATCTGCCGCCTTTGCTTTTGGTGCTGGTGAACGCGGACGGCGCTTGGGGGTGGCAGCAGGAGCGGGGAGCTCACACCTGTGCCGGTGGGGCGTTTGTTCTGCTAGTTCGGGTGTGTGCAAACGTGTTTCTTTGGGGTCTCCATACAGACCAACAGAGAGAATGAGTTCTACAGCAAGCTGGCTGACCTGCACCTGGAGAAATACAACTTCCCCGTGGAGATGATCATCTGCCTCCCCAACGGCACGGTGGTATGGCGCTACCCCTTCAGCTGGGCTTGGCTCTTCCCATTGGAATGCGTTCTCTTCAGGGTCATCTGCAGACCCTGAACCCAGTGTGTGCTCCCCCCGCCGTTCCCTGGCTCCTCGAGCCTTTGTGGGGCCGTAGTCCCTTACGGTGCTGTGCTCTCAGGGATGCTGTGGCAGGCAGACAGCAGCTCTACCAAGAAATCTGAAACAAAGGTCTTTTTATTCCGAGACAGAACAACAGCAGCTTGGGGTGGGGGGTAAACAATCAGGCCTGAACCAAATGTCTGCCTGTGATTCCTCATTGTCCCTGGTTGGAGTCAGTGACCTTTGGGAAGCCACCGTAGCTTGTTTCCTGCACCCATTCTCCCTTGTGCTCATGCTTTGGAGAAAATCTCTCCTCATCAGCACCTCCTAACACACTTATCTTTCTCCTGATTCCCCACGTTTGTCACAGCAGATCAGCCATTAGCAAGTGCACACACTTCGGCTCTGCTGCGCTCCCCAGCAGCCCCCCCTGCCTTGGATTCATCTTTCTCTGACTGTAAAATGCAAACCTGACTCCCAGATGCTGAATTAGCATTTGCAAAGTATTAGAGATTCTTTAAGAGTTGTTGCAGTCACCTATGCCCTGGCTAGAGGCCAAGGCAGTGGCTGGGGAATTGTTCTGGCTCTTAAAGTCTCCTCTCCTCGTCTGTTTTCTTTCCCAGGTTCACCATATCAATGCCAACTACTTCCTGGACATAACTTCTATGAAGCCTGAAGATGTTGAAAGTAGCATCTTTAGTTTCTCAACCAATTTTGAAGACCCTTCTACTGCAACTTACCTCCAGTTCTTGAAGGAAGGACTGCAAAGAGCAAAACCATACATGCAGACCTAAAAACAAAGGCACCCGAGTGCCCACAGAGACGGCCAAAGACTTCAGAGATCTATTTTGATTACAGCAATTCTTCCTCATCTTCATGGCAGATGTCGATGTTGAGACGCAGACAGTCCCAGGAGCGGGGCTTTGCTCTGGATGTTGGTTTGAGGCTAAGTTCCAAGTGGTACCAGTTTACATAACCTGCCCTTTTGCGTTCAGGCACGTTTTTACAGGAGTGAAAATACTTGAATCCGTAAACGTTCTCGGTGCATACCCCTCGGTTTGCCACTCACCCTCGTGTTTCTCCAGCTCCTGTTCAGACTCTGTGGTGAAACTCGTGTAAGAGCGATAGCAAGCGTCACCCGGAACCGCCTGATCTCAAGGACTGGACTGTACTGAGTCACGGAGAGCAGCGTTGCCGTTATGACCGGACACTCGTGGCGAGCGCCCGTGCCCTCTGGGCGAAGGCGCAGAATCCAGCGTGGGCGGGAAGCTCCTTCCCGGTAGCCGGTGTCCTCCAGGCCTCCTCGCCAGCGGCAGCTCTGAGCTGTAAGCTGCCCTGTGGCTTGGATGCCAGCTCTTCACGATGGCGTTTATTGACAGCAGTGGCATAATGGGACGGTAGCTGGTAATGCGTAGACATGGAAGTAGGAGGTGCGAGCTGGAGCCTTCAGCTCTAGAGCAGCCTCCTCCCAGCAGCCTGTGCGACATGGCGGGAGAGCGGTCTCCCTTGTTCAGGTTCTTTGCATCTGAGGGAGGTGCTGAGGTTGACACAGTGAAATTAGGAATGGAGACGAGGGCATTAGAGGTACGGTGCAGCTCAGAGACCTCAGGCGTGGATTAACTCGGGGGGATTGGGGGCCAGAGCCCCTCTGAGCTCCCCCCGTGCAGCACGTGCACCCCAGGCCACGGGACACGGTACTGCGCAGTGCCCCCACCCTGTTCAGCCCAGGGCCGCTCCCACCTCACCGGCACCGAGAGCTTCGTTCTCCCAGTGTCTCCGCGGAGCCGGTGAGACACCCCATCCGTCTTTGCTCTGAGCTTCCAAGTCACACCGAATGATGAACCGGGATGAAGCTCCCTTTGGGAACGGGAGGTTCAGCGTTACCCTGAGAGCGTTAACTGGTGGAGAACGGAGCAGTTCTCAAAGCCAGCAGTACTAAAGAAATTTTCAGAAGATTTTTCCAAAGAAATTGTTAGGACAGAACGCCATTGGCCCTTACCCGTAACCACCCTGAGCAGTTGCCCCTGCTCTGTACCAATGCCTGGCTACAGAGCGAGTGTAACTTGGAGAAGGAAAGGTTAAATGAAATGGGTTTTAAAGCATATTCCTGTAGACAGGTGAGGAGATGAAGCACCTGCAGTAGATGGCTGCAGACAGCCACGGCTGTTGATGCTTTTTCTGCTCTCTGAAGCACAATGTTGTCGGACCAAATCAAACGGGGAAAAGCCATTTTTTTGGAAGGGATATTTGCATTCCTGAGCTCCAGGACCTGGGAGGAGCCCGGGGGTCGTGATTACCCTGTCCCCACCCCGCCCCAGCCCTCCTGTCTGCATCCGTGGCTGGAGACGGAGCGTGGATGGAGCTCTGGGCTGAACCAGTCTAGCTTCACTAATTGCTCTAGTGAGATTAATTACCCCTGGGATGTTTCTCAGTATCGGCTTTATAACTATGCATTAGCTCTGCACTTTTCTCACACTCCTGCAGTAATGACAGGCTTGGATCTGGCAGCGCTTCCAGCTGTGGAAAGTGCCAAAGCCTCCAGGCAGCGTTTGAGACCGAGCTCCTGTCACAGCGGCGGTCTCGTCCCTTCGGGGGACTTTGGTCCCCGTGGAGAGCGGCAGAGGGGGCGGAGTGCCTGCCCGGCTCCTCGGGAGGCAGAGCTCTCCTGTGCGTCTGCCCTTCTGGCTTTTACAAAGCTTCGCGTGAGGTATTTTTGTTGCACCTTTCCTGAGCCCCTCGGTCGGGGTCTTCGGACTTTGCAGCGGTGCCTGGCAGTTGTGCCCGGCAGTTGTGCCCGGGCACAGAGTTCATTCCACTTGTTCTCCTTCCCGCCGGTTTTGCGGCAGAAGGGGCCGGCGAGGGCAGTGGCTGCGCAGGCAGGGGTTGCGTTTGTCTTTCCAGGCTTGGAAGAACAGGCAGCGGTCGTGCAGGGCCGGGGGAGCCCCTCGCCCGTGCCGCGCTGAGGGCGGGAGCCGCACGGGGCAGCGTCACTTGGCTGACGCTGCAGATGCGGAGCTGCCAGGCAGAGACGGCGCCGGGGCCCGTGCCCGAGCCTGCGGCGAGCCCAGCTTCGCGCGAAGCCTTCGCCATCCCTGGCAGCACCTTGGTTTTTCTTTGGTGAACGAGCGCGCTCCGGGTCGGTCTGAAGGGCAGCAGGAGCCCAGCAGCCGAGCGGGGGGACCCATCTGCGTCCCCGTTACCTGCCAACCTGCCTGCCCGACCTGCGGCGCCCATTGCCGGGCTGCCGCCAGCAGCTGTTGCCTGAGGTTTTGTTAACCAGTGCCGAGCTTTTCGTCCCCCTGTTTGTAAACTTCCTGAGGGTTTTCCCGATAGGTTTGTGGTGCTCGGGGGGAGGAGGTGCCGCTTCTCCCTGCCTCCTGTGCTTTGTGACGCTCTGGTCTGAAACCCACAGCGGGCCAGGGCCGATGTTTGCCAGCGAGGCTCGGGGGCAGCAGCCCCGCGCGGTTCGGTGCCGGTTGGCGTGAGGGGCCGTGGGCCCCGGCTGTAGCTGCGCTCCTTAAACCCTTCCCACCACCCTCGGCCTCCTGCAGTCCTTGCCTCCTCCGGGGCGGGCGGGGGGCGGCTGGGCCGCGGCCGGGGGAGCGGGGGGGCGGG